AAACCCTAAACCCTAAACCCTAAACCCTAAACCCTAAAGAAACCCCAAAGCCGCCGCCAGCTCAACACCTTGGATGCGCTGAATCGCCACTTCCGGCAGTTCGGGGAGGAGCACGGGGCTGGGGGTTCAGGGTTTAGGGTTTAGGGTTTAGGGTTTAGGGTTTAGGGTTTAGGGTTCAGGGTTCAGGGTTCAGGGTTCAGGGTTCAGGGATTTTAGGGTTTTTGGGTTTCGGGTTTAGGGTTTAGGGTTTCGGGTTTCGGGTTTAGGGTTCAGGGTTTTAGGGTTTAAGGGTTCAGGGTCTTAGCGTTTTAGGGGCTTTCGGAATTCAGGGTTAACAGCGTCATGGTAGCGTTTGGGGTGCAAGCCCGGAACATCCAAATGCCCGCAAGCTCGAAAAGCTCAGCAGGACGCCCTTTCCGAAGGGGATTTGCGGTTTTGGGTCGGTTCCGGGGTCTTGAGCAGTTGTTCAAGGTCTAGCATCTTTTCTTGAACCCTCTCCTAAGCGAACCTTACCTAGACCCCCAAAGTATGTAAAGTAGCTGTCTTTTAGGAGTTTTGGGCCTTCTTCTACATACTTTGGGGGTCCAGGTACACCAAGTATGGTGGCCCTAGACCCTGAAAAGGCAAAGGCTTGGGGTTTAGGGTTCAGGGTCTGCCGTACACCCTCAACCCTAAACCCCAAACCCTTAAAACCCTAAACCCTAAAAACCCTAAACCCTAAACCCTAAACCTTAAACCCTACTCATAAAGTGCGGGCTGCCCCTTGGCAGGTGTTGAAGATCACGTCGCAGGTTGCTGAGGCACGTGATGGCACGTGGCTTGGGTTTTAGGGCTTCAGGGCCTCCAGGGCTGTAAACCCAGAGAAGTTCCCCCCCTTTTTTTGTTTTAAGGTTCGGCTTGTTGACAATTGTGTACCCTAAACCCTAAACCCTGAAACCTCTAGGTGCGGCCTCTGTTCTCAGGCCATGGGGGTGATGTTTGGGAGGTCGAGGGCCTGGGACATACTGCAGGGATTTGCTATGTCTAAGTTGAGGGCTTAGGGATTTCGGGTTTAGGGTTTAGGGTTTAGGGACTTAGGGACTTAGGGATTTAGGGATTTAGGGATTTAGGGATTTAGGGATTTAGGGATTTAGGGATTTAGGAATAAAGGTTTTCGGGATTTAGGGATTTAGGGATTTAGGGATTTAGGGATTTAGGGATTTAGGGATTTAGGGATTTAGGGATTTGGGATTTAGGGTCAGGGGCAAAGCTAGATTTCTTTGTTTAGGAATTAGGGTTTCGGGCTACTAGGTTTAAGGTCTCCTAGTTGGGTAGCCTTCCCTTTTTGCCCCCTTTTTGGGTTTGGGGGTTCCTCGATTACTTCCCCACGCCAACAAGGGAACCCTGGCTAGACTACGAAACACTACAAAGCTTATTGTTATTGTCGGCAATGTAAACTACTCAAAGTCTTCATTTTGACTACTGTAAATCGGCCCACACTAAACACGCAACACGATGCTGCATTTAAGCCCAAAGCCCTAATTGCTTTACAGCGCTTTTTCTTTTCATTGAGAGTACATTGTACCTTGTGATTTTAGGGGCTCCATTCCCAAGACCTAAAAACTATATGCACTAGACCCATGAAACCCCAAACCCAAACCCTAAACCCGGAAACCTCTGCTGCAAGGTTTTCGGGTTTAGGGGTTTGGGGGCTTGGAAGATTTGAGGGTGTAAAACCTTATTAAATAAATAAATATATATATATATATATATGTTAAGGTTTAGGAGGTTTAGGGGGTTTAAGGCGTCATGCACTGTGCGCGGGTTCGGCGGGTCGGCAAACTCCCTGCTGTGGAAGACCTTGAAATACTTCTCCTACGGGCAACATCCCCTCCAACACAGGTTAGGGGTAGGGTTTAGGGTTGCGCCTTCCACTGAGAGAGAAAGAGCGAGAGAGAGAGAGAGAGAGAGAGAGAGAGAGTCCGTGTACCTGCATGGGCAAATGCTTGGACAAGAAAGGGACTCTATAGGCTCTTTAGTAGCTTCTTTCCATGCCCAAGGGCCCCTCTGCAAAGAATGTTGGGCCGAAAGCCCCGTTCGGCCCCAAAGCCCTTATGTCCGAAACAGCCACATACCGGGCATGCCAAAAAGTAGGGCTACCCCTGATATACCCGAGAATAGTATAGTGCTTAGTAGAGGAAGCCCTAAAAGGATATCCGCCCTATTCTCCGAAAGCCCACCATATAGCCAGATTTAGAAGCATCCAACAAGAAGAAACCGTCGCCTTGGGCAGGCTTCAAATCTATCGAGCACGAAAGCAGTATCCGACGCACTGTGCACCGCCATGCCAAACAAGTAGTCCTTGGTCCTAAGCCCTAAGCCCTAAACCCTAAACCCTGAAACCCCTAAACCCCTAAACCCCTAAACCCCTAACCCCTAAACCCCTACACCCCTAAACCCCTAAGCCCCTAAACCCCTAAACCCCTAAACCCTAAACCCCTCAACCCTAACCCTAAACCCTAAACCCTAAACCCTAAACCCTAAACCCTAAACCCTAAACCTTTGGCAGGGCAAAGCCTTCCTCCAGTTCGCCAACCGTGCCGCAGCAGAGGCGGAGAAGCCCAAAATCTGAGACTTGGGGGTTTGGGGTTAAACCCTAAACCCTAAACCCTAAACCCTAAACCCTTAACCCTTAACCCTTAACCCTTAACCCTTAACCCTTAACCCTAAACCCTACACCCTGCTTGCTAAACGGAATCGGGCCCGACGTTTCGTGGGCGTGGGGTTTCGGTGCCTAGGATTCCGGGCCTAGGGTCTAGGGTTCAGGCTAGGATATCGGGTTCAGGGCCAAGATTTTTCGTATTCAGAACCCAGGATTGGGGTGCGAGGCCCCGATTTTGGGGTTCAGCACCTAAGGGAGGGTTTAGGTTCAGCCTATATGGTTCGGGGCCTAGGATCTAGGGTTCACGGGTTTTAGGGCTCGGTGCCTAGGGCCTATGCTGGCGTTCAGGCTTCAGGCCGAGATTTTAAGGTTCAGGTTCTAGGGTTTAGGGTTTAGGGTTTGGGGTTTAGGGTTTAGGGTTCAGGTTCTAGGGTTTAGGGTTTAGGGTTTATCGGGTTTAGGGTTTAGGGTTTAGGGTTTAGGGTTCAGGGTTCAGGGTTCAGGGCTCAGGGTTCAGGGCCCAGTTCAGGACCCAGCCCAGGAATTAAGGGTCCAGGGTTCAGCCTAGGATTCAGAGCCCAGATTTTAGGGCTCAGCATCTAAGGTCGTTCAGGGTTTAGGGTTTAGGGTTTAGGGTTTTGGGTTTAGGGTTTAGGGTTTAGGGTTCAGCCTAGGATTCGGGTTCAGGTTTATGGATTGAGTAAACTTTGCATTTTCTTATAATGTTATGGGATTCTTTGGGCGGGTGGGTTTTTGCTCGTCGCTTGCAAAGCTGCTTGACTAGTGAATGCTCGAACATGAGATGCTGAACCTAAACCCTAAACCCCAAACCCTAAGCCCGTGCAATGCGTAGGTTACTCTTGGGTGTCTATGGGTTGATTATTTCCTTTTCCGCCCTGCAACATTCACTCTCCGAGCTGTTGGCAAGCTTTGCCTGGGCTGGAGGTCAGCGTAGTGTTAGGAAGCCTCAGAAAGCCCTCCGCCCCTAAACCCTAAACCCTAAACCCCAAACCCCAAACCCTAAACCCTAAACCCTAAACCCTAAACCCTAAACCCTAAACCCTAAACCCTAAACCCTAAACCCTAAACCCTAAACCCCAAACCCCAAACCCCAAACCCTAAACCCTAACCCTAAACCCTAAACCCTAAACCCTAAACCCTAACCCTAAACCCTAAACCCTAAACCCTAAACCCTAAACCCTTTACAGGCAGCCTTGACGGTACCCGTTCTTGACCGTCCCGACATCGCAGTGGCGGCCCCCTTGGCATTCGATGGCCTAGCCCGGCAAAGCCGCATTCTCCACATGTCCCCGACCCCAGAGCTTCCACTAAAAACTTTAGGGTTTAGGATTTAGGGTTTAGAGCTTGGGTTTACCCTGAACCCTAAACCCTAAACCCTAAACCCTAAACCCTAAACCCATTTAGGGCTTGGGCTTCAGGAGTATCTGAAGCCGAACGAATGAACCTTGTCCTCTCAAGGCATGTCCCTTTTGAAGTCGTCGGGCTTTCGGTTTTCAGGGATTTGAGGGCTTGAGGGTGTCTAGGACCTTATTGGGTTTAGGGTTTAGGGTTTAGGGTTTAGGGCCAGGAACCAGAGTAGGCCCTTGTATCCCCTTGTTGGGGTTCAGAATCCCCTCTACGCACCTTTGAACCACAATGGCTACCCTTTTTTTGCCTAGGATTACTCTTGGGTCTAGGTGTTGGTGACAGGGGTTCAGGGTTTGGTGTTTCAGGTGCGGAGGCTTCCAGGCGATCTGCGTGCGGAACAGACTTCAAAGCGGTGATTTCATTCCGGCGCTGGCGTACTTCGGATTGCTTTTGGGTTTCTGGCTTGACCTTGTTTTCCTTTAGGCTTCTCCCTATAAACCCTAAACCCGAAACTGCTCAAGGTCCTTTCCATTTAAGGTGGTTAGAGCTTCAGGCTTCGGACGCTCGAGACTAGCGATTTCAACCCTAAACCCTGGGTTTAGGGTTTAGGGTCTATAGGGTTTAGGGTTTAGGGGTTTAGGCCTCCAACTGTTGGGACTTGCCTACGAAACGCATGGAATCGCACGTGCGAGTGGCTCTCAGTGTCAGTACGTGGACCGCGGCGGGAAGAAGCCTGAGATGTTTCAGAAGTCGATAACATTGATCCAGAAATTGCAGTACCCCTCAATGAAGGAATCTTCCTTAAATCACATCTTCGGCCCGCTTTGCCAGTTTAAAGAATATCCTCAACTACATGAGCCAGCCCCCACCCACAGTATCAAGACAGCAGAAGACCCTACACACCCTGAGCCCTCGCAGCTAGAGTTTAGGGTTTAGGGTTTCGGGTTTAGGGTTTAGGGTTTAGGGTTTAGGGTTTAGGGTTTAGCAAGGGATGGCCCCCTCGAAGTGCACAAGGCAGCCGGTCGCACGCCCAAGGCAAACCAGGCCGCCGATCGGGCCAGCAACCGGCGGGGCATCGAACAGCAGACCATCGAGCAACTACTACGGCCAGAGACGCGTCGCGGAGCCCGCCCACGGGTACCACAGAGCTGCATGGACGGGCTACGCCGGCTACGCGCCCCCGTGCGCAGCTCCCCAGTGGCCCATGACGCAGCCAGTCAGCCCGGGAATTCTTCACAGGGCCTCTGAGCCAGCCTTGGAGCTGCCAGCGCATGCAAAGGCTGTCTTGGAGACTCACTCCCGAAACTTTAATCACCCTTGGGAATTGTTTAAAAAAAAATTGTTTGTATAAAACCCAAGAGGATATTATTTTAAAATTAAGGTTGTAAGGGGATATTTGATTATATATATATATATATTTGTTATTAAGGTTCTTGATTGGAGTCTAGGAAAGCTGGAAGATCAGAAGCAGAAGCTCTGCCCCGTGGGCCAGCGGGTTTTCTCAGCACTTCGCAACGCCATGTCCCAGGCGGCTTCAGAGCAGTGGGTTGCTACGTCCTCCTTGGGAATTCGTTTTTGTTTTTGTTTATATAAAACCCAAGAGGGCACTAGAAAAAGTAGTATTTTTATTACGGTTCTAAGGGGAGTACAGGTTGAGTTTGAAAGGGCCTTCCGACAGCACCTGGCGAGATGCCGCTTGGGGCTTCCTTCGCTGGAGCGCGTGGCGTCTGGGCAATGGAGTTGCAGTCTAGCCGGCAGGGATTTCTTGGTTTCTCTTCGCACAGAGGTGCTGGCCGATGGTCAGGAGGCTAATGACTTCCTTGCACGCTTGAAGCAGGAAGCTCGCAGGGTTCGCGGCACGCTCTTCGAGCACGGTGCGTGGTGGATGAAATCGTTGGTCCAAGGCTTGGCCAGCAAGGAAGACTTCTTGAAGCAATGTCGGGTTGCCTGGCCTCAAGGATGTGCAGGTCTGAGCCGCAGTAGTGGTCGCGAGGATGCTTGCGAATGGTGCGGGTGCTCAAAAGCATCCTCCCACCTGGCAGGAAGCCACCTTTGCAGAGTCATGGCCCAGTTCTGCTGCGAGAGCTGCTCCTCCAAGTGGTGGAGCGTCCAGGCGCGCTTCGACCCCCAGCAGGAAAGGGTTCTAGGGCAGAAGTGCAAGTTCTGCGAACTGCATGGCCTTGTCTTGGCTTGGTGTTTTTCGGAGCCTCAGGACGTGCTGAACAGTGGCACCAAGTATCACCGCAGCGACTTGTGTGAAGCGTGTGGTAGGTTCGGAAATTGCCAAGGTGCTTTCTTCGAGCCCTTTATCATGTCTGCAGCCATCGAGCTATTGGCCCGAAAGCCCTGGTGGTACACATCAGGTGGTGCCTTGCTGGCTCAGGCAGGACCCTTTTTTGTGACCATGTTGCCCCATGTCGTTTCAACTGCTTGAAGTAAAAGCCGTGCGCAGGGGCAGGGTGCGCCCTCAGGGCCCTTGCGTTGCTGTGCGAACTTGCATGGGGGTTTCCGAAATTCGGGGTACCTTATTGGGGTCCTTACTATACGGGAATTTTGCTATTTGGGGGATTGTATATTGGGGGTCCCGTATTGTCCCGAGCCCCCACGTTGTCCGGAGGGTCTGGGGGTTCTGTTCCGATTCCTCGCGATTCGTTTGATGTGTGTTTGCGAGTTCAGGGTTGGGGGTTTTGGACATTTCGTGGTGGTCCATCTGAAAAACCTTTTGGCCTGTGCTTTGGGGGGTCGGGTCTCATTTTTCCATTATTTCCTTATTTCCTTATCGCTCGCAAGAGCCCTTAGGTGTAGCACAACCCCCACGTTCTAAGGGAAGTTACATCGTCTCTTATTATGCTCTCTTACCTTATGAATTCAAAGGGTTCTGAAGTACGGGCGCTTGGGCTTCAGAGAGAATATAAGGGGCATCTAATTAGGGGTTCCCATTTAAGGGTCCATATGAAACCCTAACTCCTAAACCCTATAAACCTACGCCAAGGTTGCTGCGGGATCAGGTTAGGTGGTCGGGACTAAGGGACCATGTAGCTACCCTTAGACACGTGCGCGAGCTGTGGGGGGAAGGCGGGTCCTTCTGAAACTTCAGGGGTCCTATTCCCTACAAAATACACCCTCAACCCTAGACCCAACACACCCCAAACTCTAAACCCTAAACCCTAAACCCTAAACCACCAAGCATCCCACAGTTGAACACGCACGCCCCAAGGCCCGAGTCCAACAAAAGAGCCCAAGAAAAGCCCGAAGCCTGGTGCCTGCGAGCACGTAGGGTTTAGGGTCTGGGGTTTATAGGGTTTGGGGTTTGGGGTTTGGGGTTTAGGGTTTGGGGTTTGGGGTTTAGGGTTTAGGGTTTAGGGTTTAGGGTTCAGGGTTCAGGGTTTGGGGTTTTGGGGTCTGGGGTCTTTTGAGCTAAAGTAAGCCCCTTCAAGCCCAATGATCAACCTTCCTGCCCCTCGAAGGCGCGATCGCTAAACCCTAAACCCTAAACCCTAAACCCTAAACCCTAAACCCTAAACCCTAAACCCTAAACCCTAAACCCTAAACCCTAAACCCTAAACCTCTCAGTTTCGGCTCTGGGCCTCCGCAGTTGCTGCCTGTGCACCCCCATCCCCACGCGCCGTCATGGGCCTCACCGGATCACACCTGCACCTGGAGAACCTCAAGGAGCTAGGGTTTAGGGTTTAGGGTTTAGGGTTTAGGGTTTAGGGTTTAGGGTTTAGGGTTTAGGGTTTAGGGTTTAGGGTTTAGGGCTCAGGTAGGGGCGTCGGCAGGCAGACTTTAACCTCTGTGGTTACATAGAATCCTACCGTATATCTAAAGTTAGCCTGTGCTTTGGCTAGGGCATTCGCCCCCTAAGAGGAGAATGGTGCATCTGCAGGGGTTGAGGAGTTTAGGGTGTAGGGTTTGTAGGGTTTAGGATTTCAGGGTTTCGGGTTGTAGAGGGTTTAGGGCTCAGGGTGTTAGAGGGCTTATGTTGGGCTTCGGGTTGTTGTTCTTCGCAGTGGGGGGGGAGGGGGGGGTGATCGGGGGGAGGGGTTGTGGGGAGCATCTAGGCCCCCAAGCTACGGGGTATCTAGCTATGACCCTAAAGCTAAACCCTAAACCCTAAACCCTAAACCCTAAACCCTAAACCCTAAACCCTAAACCCTAAACCCTAAACCCTAAACCCTAAACCCTAAACCCTAAACCCTAAACCCTAAACCCTAAACCCTAAGTGGAGCCTCTCTTGCTGCTTCGGATTTCGACGTGCCAGCCCCTCAACCCTCAACCAGGCCTTGGGAGAGCTGTTGAGGTCTACAATTCCGGTCTCTGCACGTAACCCTAAACCCTAAACCCTAAACCCTAAACCCTAAACCCTAAACCCTAAACCCTAAACCCGAAGCTTGGTGGGCAGCATTTTGCTCAAAGTAGCAGCGACCAACTGAACCGCAACACGTTTAATCGCCATGGCACGCTGTCTCGCAGCTGTGATCCTGGTTGCTTGCCTTTGACTATATATATATATATGTATATATATATATATATATTTATTTATTTATTTTTTTTTTTTTTTTGGGGGGGGGGGGGTAAATCTGCTTAGGGTTTAGGGCTTGGGGTTTAGGTTTAGGGTTTAGGGTTTAGGGTTTCGGGTTTAGGGTTTAGGGTTTAGGGTTCAGGGGAGGTTTCAACAAATCGGAATCGGACTCTGGGTTTAGGGCTTAGGGAGCAGGTAGTCGTTGGATACGAGGTGGTGGGCAAATCTTCAGGATTCATTGGGTATCTCTTCCCCCATTTCTCTCAGGACTCTCTCAACAACCGTCTGTCCCTCAAGCCCCAAACAAACACGACCCTAGGGAACAAGCCCTACTTTCTGGACAGTAAACCCCAAAAAGTTGGAAGCCTTTTTAAGGACTTAATAGTGCTGGGATTCCCTATACTTTGCTCTTAGGGATTGAGGCTATTGAGTTTCCAACTTTTTGGCTTCTACTATAGTCCCAGAGTCTCAAAGCCAGCTCTTGCCCGCCCATTCCGAGAAGTTTTCCCACGCCGCGCACGCAAAAAACCCTAGACCCCAAACCCAAACCCTCAAGGGATCAGGGATTTCGGGTTTAGGGTTTAGGGTTTGAGGGCTTGTTTGAGCTGGCTTGATGGCCTGAGGCCTCGCTCATGGCCACCGCCTCCGCCATAGAAGAAAACTTCTGCCGCTGACGCCGCAAGGGCTTCGGGTGGTGGGATGTGTTTTACACCCCGGTTTGTCCCTAAACCCTAAACCCTAAACCCTAAACCCTAAACCCTAAACCCTAAACCCTAAACCCTAAACCCTGAATCGGGGTAGGGTTCCGGTGTGTTCTGAGCCAAGAAGCAATCACGCGGTAGCCCTTGTGGGTTGATTATAACTTACTCAGCCAATGGTAGAACTTTAACCCTAAAGCTTGAACCCGAAACCCTATACCCCTATTCCCCGGTTCTTGTACAAGTATCTGTAGAACTTCAACCCTAAACCCTAAACCCGTACCCCGAAACCCTGGTTCTTGGGGAGAAATAAGGCTACGAGTGGCTTTGTACAGGATATGCCCGGCCCACAGATGACGGGGCTGGCTGTGACCTTCGCCACTCGAAGCCCTGGGTTTATTTGCTAGTCCCTAAACCACAACCCTACAATGCCCTTCACTGTCGAACCAACGTCAACAGGGGGAGGTGGGGGGCAAAGCCAACTAAAACAATTGGTAGGGCCCTATCACTTGCAAGGGTCCGAGACAATGCCCTGTCAGTCCTAGCAACCCCCTAAACCCCAATCCCTTAAACCCCGAAATCTTGCGTCCCAACAACCCGAACCCTACACCCCCTGGCGCCCTAAACCCTACAACGCCGAATTCACAAAACAGAGAAAAATGAGAGATAAAATAAGAAGAAACAAAAGAAACACTCAAACGCCTTGTGCCACCAAAGACATCCCATCAGACCCCCTGCTAACCCTAAACCCTAAACCCTAAACCCTAAACCCTAATCAGACCCCCTGCTAGCAGGGGTTTACGCTGCCAGCAACTTAGGAATTCGGCAGGTTCTGGGGCTTCCTAAACCCAGGGTTTAGGGTCTATCAGGGTTTAGGGTTCAGGGTTTAGGGTTTAGGGTTTATAGGGACCCCAAACCCCAAACCCTGAACACCCTGGACCTAAGGCACTTTTCCCGTTGAGCCGACGGAAGAGTTGTGCCCCCCAACAACAGAGGCCCTGGGCGTCCTTGGGCTGCTTTTTGTCCTAACCCTTTGGGGGGTTTAGGGTTTGGGGTTTAGGGTTTATGGTGTAGGATTTAGGGTTTAGGGTTTAGCGTTCCTAAACCCTAAGCCCTAAACCCTATGTAAATCCTGTTAAACCCTATTAAAGCCTAGTCCCTAAAATCCTTTGGTTCAGGCTTCTGAGGCACAAAAATTCCAAAACCCAACCCTTCGGCAGAAGGTCCGTTTGCACAGGCGGTCTTCCCATCAAGCCTGCATTTCACGTTCGGGGGCTTATGGTTTTAGGGGTACAGGGTTTAGGGTTATTAGGGTCAGGGTATACAGGGTTTATGGGGTTTAGGGTTTAGGGGTACCAGGTTTAGGGATTAGGGATTGTAGGGTGTAGGGCGTCGACTGACTTTGGTGACTTGCGAGTCTCTGGATAGTATCTTCAGGACACCCATGCCCTATACCTTACGGTACCCAGCAATTGAGCACTCATCAAGGTGACACAAATTAGGTACGGAAAGAAACCCTAAACCCGAAACCCTAAACCCTAAACCCTAAACCCTACATCCAGCAGTTCAATTCGCCGCACCATGATCTGAATGGCCCAAACCCCAACCTTCACCCAGAGTCCATGAAGGTGGTTTCCGAAGATAGGGGGTACCCTTTTTTGGGGGTCCCTTTTACGGGGTGGGGTATAAGAGGGGTGCCCCTATTTTGGGAAACATGCAGAGAAGTCGGGTTTAGGGTTTAGGGTTTAGAGTTTAGAGTTTAGAGTTTAGAGACTTAAATAGGAGCACAAGGTTCAACTCCTTCAAGCCCGACGCACTGCCGATCCTTCGGCGCTTTAGCCCCCCTTTTGCTAACAGTCCTTCATAGGGACTATAGTGCCCCCCATCATAACCCCGATGAAGGAGCCGTTAGTATAAGGGGGAACATCCCACATAACCGGGGTTACAAGTATCACCCTAAACCCGAAACCCTAAACCCTAAACCCCATGGACCTCCAAGTCGCAAGTAGCCCCGCCGCCAAGGACCTTGATCCCACAAACAACTGCATCTTGTACTCTGCCCCTCGCCTGGTTCTGCATCGACGGTTTAGGGTTTAGGGTGTAGGGTTTAGGGTTTAGGGTTTAGGGTTTGGGGCGTGCGCGGGGGCGGGCAGGGGTTCCGCCATGCAGTGTGGGAAACCCCCAACTCTCTTTGTAGCCAAAATTGCTTTGGGA